CTTTTTTCGGCTTTTTTGGCGCCAAATTCGACTTTTTCCGCCTTCGCCGCGCGAAGTGCGCAGAGTGTTGGAGAAAACGCTCTTTAGCACCATTTGCAACAAAAAGTGGAAATTAACTTCGCAAAAAACGAAACTTTGCATTTTAAAACGAAAATATTCTTCTAAATTGCGAAAATTTTCATTTAATTTCACTTTTGGCGAACTTTTTTGCAAATTTTCGAATTTTCGCGAAAATTTCGACCCGGACACTTCGGGTGTACAGACACCTCCTCGGGTGTACGCGCAACTTTTCCCGCTCGCGAATCGGCGAATTCAAAATAAATAAATAAGTAAATAAATAAATAAATGAATAAATAAATAAATAATAAATAAATAAATAAATAAATAAATAAAGAATAAATAAATATATAGATATATAAATAATAAATAAATAAATGAATAAATAAATGCAAATGCAGTGAAGAGGGAAACAAGTTAAATGTTCAAATGCACTGAGAGGCAATTGAATTAAGTCGGAATTAAAAAAATGAAATAAATAATTTAATTTAATTTAATTTAATTTAATTTAATTTAATTTTTATTTTAATGTTGCAATTAAATCAAAACTGAGCACCCTCGACTCTTTCCAGAAACCCTAAACCGAAAACCCTAAACCCTAAGCGGCAAAGTCTTCAGACAGCTCTCAGGTGTACAGACACCGCGCAGTTGCACTGCTGCGCAGCAAATCAAACCGCTGCTGCTGCTGCTGCTATTGCTGCTGCTGCTGCTGCTGTTGCTGCTGCCATTGCTGCTGCTGTTGCTGCTGTTGCTGCTGCTGCTGCTGCTGCACGCAGTTGCCCTTTACTATATGTGGCTGTGGGGCCGCAAGTGGTTCCTAAGAGCGTTAGCCTAGTTCTGCGCATTAGGGTTTAGGGTTTAGGGTTTAGGGTTTAGAGGTGGTCAGACTTCGCGGCTTTCGGCTGAACATCTGGCGGGTTTTGCTTTGAGGGTTTGCAGCTGAGAGTTAAGGGTTGGGCTGTACGTACACCTGAGGCTTTGCAGGTTGGGGTGTACGTACACCTCGCGGCAGCAGCAGAATTTGTTTTCTCTGAAAAGAAAGAAAGCAAACTTGCAATTAAAGCTGCAAGTGAATAAATTAGATTAATAAATAAATTAGGGTTTAGAAAATTAACTTTAACTGAAGTCCCGAAACCCTAAACCCTAAAGAGCAAGCCCGCGGTGTTAGGTCCGCGAGGTGTACGTACACCCGAGTTCCCTCGACGAGGCGGCAAAACGCGAATTTGAAAAACCCTAAAATGGAGAGTTTGGATGAAATAAAGAGCCAAAAAGGCCCTTCCTAAACCCTAAACCCTAAACCCTAAACCCTAAACCCTCGCGGGGGGTGAAACAAAAGGCAAAAGAGCCTTTGGCTAAACCCTAAACCCTCGTGAGCGGCTGCTTTGCGGGCTCACTTTACTGTCGTCGGAATGGCGAAAAGCCTGAATTAAATCGACTGGCGAACTTGAAATAAAGAATTAAAGAAATTAAAAACAAATTTAAAAGATTTTGACGGCGGGGAATTCGGCAAAAAGGAGTTTCCGTTTTGCGAGCAGCTGAGGTGTACAGACACCTCGCGCGAGGCGCTGGGGTGTCTGCGGAGCTCGCGCCCGCCAAAAGTCGGAAAACTGCGGAATTTCGGGGGATTTTCGCTGAATTAATTTATTTAAAATGAATTATTTTGTTTTTAATTTCGAATTTAGTTCCATTTGCGCGCATTTGGCTGCGGAGGCCCCGCAGCCGCCGGCGCTGGCCGAAGAGGCCCCCAGTGGCCGCTGCAGCGGCTGCGCCGCTCTTTCTGCGAATCTGCCGGATCTTTTTTGAATTTTGGAGAATTTGTTTGCATTAAATGAATTAATAAGTTCAATAAGTCCTTTAGTTGCTGAATTGGTCCATTTCTTGGCGCTTTCCGGAGCCGCAGCAGCAGCAGCAGCGCCAGCCGCCGCTCCAGTGGTCTTGCGGCGCTGCTGCTGCCGCCGCCGCCTTTGCTGCAGCAGCAGCAGCAGCAGCAGCAGCAGCAGCAGCAGCAGCAGCAGCAGCATTTAAAAAGGAAAATAAAACAAAAAGCAAACAAAGAAAGAAGCCCTCAAAGGCCTTAAATGCAACTGCGGGGCGGCGCGAGGCTCCTGCGGCGCGGGGCGCAGCCGACGGCGGCTGTCGCGCCTAGGGTTTAGGGTTTAGGGTTTAGGGTTTAGGGTTTAGGGTTTAGGGTTTAGGATGCTGCAGGCGAACAAGGCCACGGTCCTCACGGACTTCAACTTGGAAAGTCTTTCTATTCAGTTTCTCGAAATTGATTATTTCCTTTTGGTCTTCAGCAGAGTCACTCGCGTGGCTTCTTTGCTTGCTGGCTTCGCCTCAGCAGCACTCATGCAGGCAGCAGGTAAGCAGCAGCAGCAGCAGCAGCAGCAGCAGCAGCAGCAGCAGCAGCAGCAGCGGCGGCGGCGGCGGCGGCGGCGGGAAGGGG